CCGGGGAGTCGCCAGCCGGCATTGTCCGGCTGACGGCACCCGGAGGAGGCCCAACCTATGCGATCTGGTTGGTCATTGGGAGGTACGTGGCAGGAGGTGGTCTCTCAGGTAACCAGATCCTAAGCCATGTAGGGCTTTAAAAGTAATGACTAGCACCTTGAAGCGCTTCTGGAGACCAATAGGAAGCCAGTGCAGCTCCCGGAGGATAGGTGTAATATGGGTGTATCTAGATATACCCCATGTCGCTCGTGTGGCTGCGTTCTGGACCAACTGTAGTCTTCAAACATTCTTCAGGGGCAGCCCCATGTACAGCGCGTTACAGTAGTCCAGTCAAATAACACTGATTTCGTTGTTGTTTTGGATGACATCTATGAAAAAATTTCAGGTGCTCATGAAAATGTGCCGCTCAAACACTATACTTTTCCGCACACACTGAAAAAAAATTAGAGGGAACATTGACTGTCCCACCCCTAACTGGAGTCGAGGCTGATACCAAACTCAGGAACTGGCTAGGCAGATCTCAAAGAATAGAATCCTGCCCTCTTGTCCCAGCCAAGTCTTAGTGATACAGTCTTCTCCTCAACAATTAAGTCATGGCCATGGTGGTTTTATTACAGACTGATCTAGCATTCATTACCAGCCACTAATAGCCCAGGGCCTTGAAAACTTGAATTGTTATAAAAATGTTCAGTATTCATATAAACAACTGATACTGAATTACGGAATTAGGGACATTTTTTAAATAATGTTAAATATTTTCCCATTAATATGGAAATGTATGTAAATCAAAGAAGATATTTTAAAATTATTTGTTACAAATATCAAATATTAACATAGAATTGGAAATGAGAGTCATGTGATTCATCTTATTTTGCTTATTCAGAAAAAAGTACCTTCTTGTCGATTTCACTCCTGAATCCTACTCTGTCTAATTATGATCACTATTTGATGCAAAGTTTTGGAATATATTGATACATGAGATCTAATATCCAAAATATATATAAGTTTAAAACTTATTTGTTGAAGATGAAAATTAGAAATATTGCATCCTTTTTAATGTATAGTTCTTACACTATACATCAGAGGGTTCTTCATCTTGGGAAGTTGTCCACAAGAGGGAGGAGAGATTGTAACATTATTCTAATTATTCTGCAAGTGGAGTTACACATTTCTGGATCCGTCATTTGGTAGCTAAAGTTATTTTATTGGTATTATGGATTATTTTCAATAGAAAATAGAAATTTAATAGAAAGTGGATGAGTAGGTCATGAAAGAAAAGATAGAAATGTAATGCCAATCAGACCACAAATGATAAGGATGAGTTTTGTTTTGTTTTGTTTTACATTTGATATTAACAGAGAAAATCTTATACAGGATATAAGGATGCTTTTTTAATTCTATTGGATTTATTCCTTGATAAGGATGCATATGATTTAAATCTTTTTACATTATAATTCATGTACTATCCAATTAAAATGACATTTGCTCTTTCCTTTCATAGACAGCCTTTTCAATCCAACCCCCATAATAGATGCATGGCACAAAATTGTGTGAATCATAAAATGTATTTTAAATTTAATGAAAGTGTAAAATAATATAGTATTTAAACACTATGTTTGTTTATATCACAACAGAAATTTCCAATTTCAGCCATTCTGTTTTATACCTGCATATCTTCTATCCCATACCCAAATTCCATAGTTGCCCAGCATTCAAGGTTCACTGATTATGATTTAATGATGGGTAGGCAGGAGGTCTTTTAAAAAAATATTTCTATATTTTGGTACTTGCTGAGGCTTTTGACTTTTACAGGTAGTCCTTGATATAACGACCACAATGGAGCCCAAAATTTCTACTAAGCAAAACAGTTGTTAAGTGAATTGTGCCCCATTTTACAACCTTTTTTTGCCGCAGCTCTTAAGTGAATCACTGCAGTTCTTAAGTAAATCATACAGTCATTAAGCAAACTTGGCTTCTCCCATTAGCTTTGCTTTTCGGAAGCTAGCTACGAAGGTTACAAAAGTTACCACATATCTCCAGGAGTGTGTAACTGTCAAAAATACATGTCAATTCTCAAGTGCCTGAATACTTCAATACTGATCACATGTGCATGGGGTTACTGCCACTGTCATTTTAAAAACTGGTCATAAGTCACTTTTGTTCAGTGCTGTAACTTTCAACAGTCACTAAACAAATGCTTGTAAGTTGAGGCATATCTATATATGGGCTGTAGCATGATGACTCAATCTTAGAAAGCTGAATTCAGTAATAGCATACATGATGTGTTGCAAGCATTAAATGCTTAATTCCCATGTGTCATCATCATATTTGTCTATTACAGGTAGCTCTCAACATACAACCATTTATTTAGTGACTCTTCAAAGGTACAACAGCACTATAAAAAGTGACTTATTATCAGCCCTCGCACGTGTTATAGCATTCCCAGGTTCCTGTGATACAAATTCAGGTACTTAGTTATCAGCATCATCTAAGAAGATTGTAGCGTCCAGGGAACATGTGATCCCTTGTGACCTTCCCAACTGCATTCTAACAAATTCAAGGGGGGAGGAGTTGGAGTCATTTAACATCTTTGTGATTCACTTAACAACTTTGTGATTGTTTAACAACTATGGCAAAAAAAATGTTATAAAATCAGGCCTGGCTCCTTTGACTGCCTTGCTTGGGCAACTGTGATCATAAGTCTGGGACTACCTATAAACAACATTGTTCTAATGTTTTCTTTATTGTAATATCTAACCTAGGACTTATTTATTCCTTCCTGAATAGATGTTTGGAAACTGGACCTTTGGAACACTGGTGTTCACTGTATTGGTATTCACCGTTACATTAAAGGTATAATTTTCTAAAGCATCAAAATGACAACATTCTTATAATCCAAATGATTTGAATGTTACTTAAGAAAAAATAATGTCTCAAAGAAAAGAAAAGTGTATAAAGATATTCATGCCATGCAAAAGGTAATAAAAAGAGATTTTCCCCTCATAAACTAAAAGCTGTGGTATTCTGTCAGAGCTCTCTGATTACTTAGTCCTTTAAGAAGATGAACGTTTAGAAATCATTGGTAGTGAAGTTGATCATAATGAGACTTGTTACTGCTGTAATTCAAAGAAATTTTAAAAAGAGCCTGTAAAATTAATTACATAAAGTGCCTCATCAGCCCTTTATATGAAGAATTTCTAAGAACTGTTCTGCATTTGGCTTCCAATTAGATTTGAATGCTTGTAGCTTTTAGAAGAAACTATCAATAGTAATGGTAAACAAATAATAATTTTACAATTGAAGCTTCTGAGGAATATGACGTAGAGAAAGATGAGAAAGAAAATATATTTTTGGCTCGTGAAGAATAGATCCGATGTGAAAATGAAAAAGAAAATTACATGGTATGACAACAGAAAATGTAGGGGATGAAATAGTCTGATAAATGCTAATAAAAATAGCAATTTAGCTACAACTATATTGTATTATTTAGAAGTACTTTTCAGCACTGGTTTAGTTAGCTTAAGGCCATCGTAGAGCAAATAAATATTTATATAGTCTCCTTCCTATAGATCCTGTAATATTGATAGTATTTTTCTAAACAGCTTGCACTGGATACTCACTATTGGACATGGATCAACCACTTTGTGATCTGGGGATCACTACTTTTCTACATTGTCTTTTCTCTTCTCTGGGGCGGGATCATTTGGTAAGAATAATTGTGAACCTATATTTAAATTCCTTTGTCCGTTGCATATAAAATTCAGACATCCAGAGTCACATTGCGTATCTAGGGCCCCATAGCCTCCGGATTATGGAACAGAACCTCTATGGAAGTAGTGGAATTCAAATTTTTTTACTACCGTGGGTGTGGCTTGGTGGGCATGGTGTAGCTTGGTGGGCATGGCAGGGAAAGCATACTGTAAAATCTCCATTCCAACCCCACTCCAGGGGAAGGTTACTGCAAAATCCCAATTTTTTCCCGATCAGCTGGGACTCGGGAGGCGGATAATAAAGGAGGCTGGGGCCAATCAGAGGTGGTATTTACCGGTTCTCCGAACTACTGGAAATTTCCATTACTAGTTCTCCAGAACTGGTCAGAACCTGCTGAATACCACCTCTGCTGTATGGCATCTTTTAAATGACCTGGGGTGAAGATATAAAACTGAGTATCATTATCATATTCAGTTGATATCTCATCCCACACTATTGGATGACCTTCTCCACTGGTTTCAACTTAAACAGGAAAAGAGAAAGCACAAAATCCTGAGGTAATAGAATGTCTGTGTGCAATTATTTACATTCAACTAGGTTTTTTATGTATGTGGATGCATTTGTGTATGTGTGTTTGTCTGTGTACATACACACACATACAAAGTTAGTTCCTAATGACTTCTATGCCCTTTTCTTGTTATTTTTTTAGGCTCTAATGGGGCCCTGACTGTCCCAAAATCATCCAGCCAGCTTCCATGCCTAAGAAGGGATTAGAATTCTCTTTGTTTCTAGACTGGTAACTTAACCACTAAACCAAACTGGCTTTCCAAAGTTGCTTGCAAAATATATATTTTTCCTCCTGGCATGGGGAAGGCTACACTGCCAATGTAAAAATGTACATTAAAGGGACAGGTTAATAGAAAATACTGCCATTTTAGCTATTTATCTCCTTGCAGAACACTAAAATCCAGTGAAAATATAGTGTTTTGATCTAACCAGTCTAGGAATGTGGACATGGGATATAATAATAAAAACATGCATGTTGAAATCTCTATTGCTTTAATACATGACAGTATTTTACTCTTCATCCATTAGGCCATTTCTCAACTACCAGAGGATGTACTACGTATTCCTGCAGATGCTATCTACTGGTCCTGCTTGGCTGGGCATTATTATGCTTATAATTGTTAGTCTTCTTCCAGATGTCCTCAAAAAGCTTCTGTGCCAGCAGATATGGCCTACAGCAACAGAAAGAATTCAGGTAAAAATTTAACTGTCTTGTTTTTACAGATCACATCTATCTAAATATCTTCTAAACATCTCTGATTTTATTGCTTGCAGTTTTATTTAATCAATTAGTAAGACACTGAGAATACAGTAAATTATTGTAATATTTTACATAGTAGCTTATTTTATGCATAATTCTTTTGAATCTTTTGAAAAAGAAAAAAATGACAAAAACAACAATATACAAATCATATAATTTGAGAGCATATATAAATTTCTAATCTTAAGAAGAGATACAAAATTGTAAAAATCCATACCCAATATTTATATCAAAAACCTGTATAAATAGATATAATTTACTACCATAGGAATTACATTGTTATACTGTATTCCACAGTCTTATTACATGGAGACCAAATGTGAACAAAACAAACTTTAACGAAGAGTCTTCAAATAGTTTTTCTACTATTTCTTACTTTTTAAACTACTATTGGCCCAAAGAAAGATGCATCTTACTTTTGATGCAGTCAATTTGGCAACTAAAAGAAATAGCATGTATTTATTTGTTTCCAATAAAAATGGATAATAAAATTACATTATGATTAAAGACTATTGTATAATTTTCAGTTTTCTCAAAATATTAAAATGATTAAATTGCCATTACCATTACAGATATGTACCAATGGAATTAAAATCCTTCCAGCACAGATTAGAAAGATTATATTTAATGTCATGCAATTTAAAAGGATATAATAACTTATTATTTTGATATCATATTAATTTTTCTACCAATTATATCCAAACTTTGCTTGACAGGAAGTAAGCTAGAGACTATATCTTTATGCATTCATGTTCTATAAAGCTTATTTCCTTACTATAATTGTGTAAAGCAACTTCTTTCTAGCTATTCAAACAGATTGTCTCCACTGACATGCCCACACCTGCAGAGTTGAATGTATGATGGGTTGAATGGCTTTGACATCAAAAGATAGAAGTATCAATGCAGTCAAGGGCATTGTAAATCAAAAATCTGTTACTCTGATAATCTAATTCTTCCTTAAAAATCAATTCTGCTCTAAACTTCAGATATCTATAATGTGGTATGCCAAATTAGGATAAAAACAATGCTGGTTCTAATGTTTTATTTAACTTCCAATAAAGCAATGCATTCCAAAACAGGGTCACATATTCTCTCTTCCCTTTCCTATAAGCCAGTTGCCTATATGCAAACCTTTTTTGGCTACCGTGCCAAGAGGGGGGGCGCACAGGAGGGTTGTGCGCCAGCGTGCCACACTCATAATGCTATGTGTACCCCCCAGCGCACGTGCATGCATGAGATTATAGACCCCCACCCTTTTGCTGTGGTTTTTTCACCTTCCCCAGGCTCCAGAGGCTTTCTAGGAGGCTGGGGAGGGTGAAAACAGCCTTCCTGGCCCCGCCCCCGGATGCCCCCCGGAGGCTTCCCTGAAGGCTCCGGAGGATAAAAACTGGCCCTATGAGCAAACTGGAAGTGACTTCCGGGTTCCCCATAGGGCCAATTTTCGACTTCTGGAGCCTTCAGGAGGCTTCCCTGAAAGCTCCGGAGGGCAAAAAACGCCCATACGAGCAAACTGGAAGTGACTTCTGGGTTCCCTGAAGGGCCAACTTTCGACTGAAGGCTCCGGAGGGCAAAAAACGGTCCTACAAGCAAACTGGAAGTCTGTTCCTGAATTTCCAGTTTGCCCATAGGGCTGGTTTTTCGTGCTGCGTCAAAACTGCGTCAAAAGAAGGCCGAAGTCAGCTGGCCAGTATGTGCATATGCGCTGGCCAGCTGACAGGGCATCACCTCGCAGGCCCTGAAAAATGGCTCCGCGTGCCCCCTATGTCGCGCATGCCATAGGTTCGCCACCACGGCTATATGCTGTTGAAATTATCAAGCAAGCATTTATCTTGGATTTTGTGGAATAACTATGCAGACCACAAGTAACTGAGCAGGTTTCCAACAAGCCCTCACCAGTCTGCACCAATCAGAAATCAGCATGGCTAAAGGCCAATTAGAAGTCAGGATACCTGGCTATAAAGTCCCTGGTCCGTTGCTGATGGTCTGCTTAGCAATTACTTTGTTTTTGAAGATGCCAGCTACAGTTGCTGGGAAAACACCAGGAAATCTCTTCTTATGGTCACTAAACTCTAAAGCCTAATATTGTGAAATAATCCTCCAAATAATACTTCACTTCGTATAGTGAAGTACAAAGCATGATATTCAACATGTTTCGAGTCAATCAGACATTTTGATCTTAAAATCTGACATCAAACTTATTAGCATTTACCGTATATACTTTCACATGCATTTAATGACATGGTAATTTCTCTAAATAGTCTGACTTGGATGAAAACAATCTGACATTCAGTTTGCCGAAGCAATGCAAAAATATATTTTGACTCTTTATTTTTTCAGTTAAGTTCAATGTATCCAGTAGGATAATCTATTTTTTAAAATGTAATATAATTCACCTATGTTGATATTTCAAATATATGACAAACCTATATGACTAAATTTAAATAAATGGCCTTATTTCAAATTTTGGCTTAGAGATTGTTTTCAGGACATTATGTGAAAAAAAATTAAAATCACAGTATGCTACATAAATTGCATTGTATTAAATAATCTGAACGGCCTATGATAGTAGCTATTATAGACCTGAAACAGAGTTCCAGGACAAGGAATTAAGTGTGTAGTAATACAGTAATAGTAAGTAGAAGCAAGAACTGGTTTGTAGCATGTCACACTTGTCTAAGTGTGGTATAGCTGAGTCATCATGTATAGGATTACAATAATAATTAGGATGTTGTACTATGTTCATAAAAGAATCTGGTGTACAAGTTTGAGGGACTTCTCCGTGAAGAGCCGAGGTGGCGCAGTGGTTAAATGCAGCACTGCAGGCTACTTCAGCTGACTGCAGTTCTGCAGTTTGGCTGTTCAAATCTCACCGGCT